CTGTTTTTACTGTATTTTTGATCAAATGAGCATTTGGTGAATGTAAGGCTTCTTTGAAAAACCAACCCCAAACTTTTGAATGGTAGTGTATTTTATTACTCTGATAATCTCTCTCTCTCTCTCTCTCTCTCTCTCTCTCTCTCTCTCTCTCTCTCCCTCAACCAGTATACAAACACAGAAAATGTTTTATTTGTGATATTTGCACAGATGTTTTGAAATATTTATTTGTATGTCAATCTGTTTGTGAGTACTGTAGTGTTATTAATATATGCTTGTGCATTCTCTCTGTCTCTCTCTCACATGTGGTCTCTCAGTCAGGACTGTAAGATGACGGAGTATAAGTTGGTTGTTGTGGGAGCAGGTGGTGTTGGGAAGAGTGCTTTAACCATCCAGCTCATTCAAAATCACTTTGTGGATGAATATGACCCTACTATTGAGGTACATAATGACAAGAACATAATTACTTACACTGTCAAAGCTGCATTTATTTGATGAAAAACACAGTAAAAACAGTAATATTGTTAAATATTATCACAATTTAAAATAACAATTTTCTGTTTTAATATATTTTAAAATGTAATTTATTCTTGCGATGCAGAGCTGAATATTCAGCATGATTACTCCGGGCTTCAGTGTCACAAGATCCTTCAGAAATCATTCTAATATGCTGATTTGGCGCTCAAGAAACATTTCTTATTATTACCAACGTTGAAAAGAGTGGTGCTGCTTAATATTTTTGTGTACCGTGATAATTCAAAAATAATTTAGATAATTAGTGCATGACCCTAAATTTTTGAAAGTGAATGTACTAGTGGACTTTTCATATTTGACATTTAACGCATTACCATCACCATTTGGCAGGTCATTTGTCATCATGACCTGCACTGAATATTTAAGTAGAATAGGATATATACGTCCATTACTCTAATGTTTAGTTTGATTCATGTAATCATGAGACTGTCAGGCTCTATGCAGATTTACAGTGCTGATCATGTCCGTGTCTTCAGGACTCTTACAGGAAGCAGGTGGTGATTGACGGTGAGACGTGTCTGCTGGACATCCTGGACACTGCAGGGCAGGAAGAGTACAGCGCAATGAGGGACCAGTACATGAGGACAGGAGAGGGTTTCCTCTGTGTCTTTGCCATAAACAACCTCAAATCCTTCGCCGATGTGCATTTGTACAGGTCCGTAAGCTGATGAAAGGGGTTTCAGTTGTATTTTATGAATCATCTGGATTTTAAAGAGGTCATGACATGGATTTTTTTTTTATTTGTTATTTTATTTTAATATGTTCCTTGAGGTTTACTTATAATGTTAATAAAGTTTTTTTTTTTTACACAAAAAACAAAGAAATATGTGGAAAAATTATTGTTTTCAACCCTCATTCTGACCCTCTTGTCTAAAACGACCCGTTTTTAAGGGGTGCGTCTTAGGCCTGGGCGATAAAACGGTATTGATATTTATCGACGGTACACCTTCTTCGATATCGATAGAAAAATTGTTCGATATAGCGCACGATATAGGCACGTGCTCTGAGTGACGAAGACAGCACACACAAACACGAACACATGCTGAATTGAGTGCTGTGCCTGCCTGTGATGAGGAGATTGTGAATAAAAAAATGAATATTAGTCGAATTTAAAATAAATATTTGCATTTGAATGCAAAAATAGTACAATCAAATGTTAGGAGTGCGTCAGGGAGCGTCATCGGTGGAGCACGAGATACGGTGATGATGTAAGTGACGTTGCATTTTAATGTTTTGTTAGTCTAGCCCACGAGACGCGCAGTTGCTGCATTATGCATTCAAAATATTATAGAAATATAGAAGCTCAATGTGGAGAAGATCTTGATTAGGTTAAAACCGAAACCAAGCCATTCACACAGAACGCATATTCAGTGCATTTTTAGACAGACAAATATGACTGCTGCACTCGCGTCTAACACAAGATGTAGCCATGCAAAGTTAAAACATTTTAAACTTTTAGAAAACACGTCGTGAATTTGTGGAGGTTTATTCCTTTTCACTGCGTCTCATATGTTTTTAAATGCAATCTGAGTGAATGGCGCTTCGGCTCTTTGGATTAAGCAATGCATAAATACATGATGCTGTTTTGTTCATAATTGTTTATGCAATTTACGAAATTATATTAGATTTTTATGAGTTAATTTAGACGTAATGCACGTTTTTAT